TATATATGATTTGTCTAAAATTAACAATGTTTCAAAATACAAATATTAATGTTATAAATAATTGTGATAGGTGTATTTATAAAAAAATCATTATTTTTTATTTTAAAAATTATTTTAATAGATATCTTACACCACAAAACAACGTAAAATTTACGGATACATGTGTTTCAAGGGAATGATGATTAAATATAACCGATTAGAGTGTACTTCAATTTTGGACCGTCCATTCTAAAAATTTAAAAATCTCAAGCATCATTGACTTGGACAACCTATCATGACCTTTTTACCGTTACTTTATCTATGGAACCCTTCGTCTTATTCTCTCTCCTCCTAAAACCCTCCCCCGCTCTCTCCCCAAAGTTAAATGAGCTTATTCTCACCCATCTCTCCTATGACTTTTACTTTCTCCTAAGAATCTACAGAAGAGGGAAGAACCCATTTGCAGCAGATACACACCCATTTACAGTGTTAGAGAGAGAAACGCATCCGCAGAGGTTAGAGGGAAACATAATTTCAGCTTTAGAGAGAAAAAACCCATTTGCAGTTTTAGATAGAGAAACATCGGCAAAAGGAAGAGAGTGAAACTGGAGAAAGCCATCTGCAATAGAAGATAGACAAACTGGTAAATAATATAAGAGAGAAAATAACCTATTACATGGTTTTTTTTGTTGTTGCTGTTGGAAGAGCGATGCATTCATGGGTTTTTACTGTTAAGAAATATGCATTTATGGGTTTTTCTATGAAAAAGAGATGAACTTCTGTATTTTGTTATTGTAGGCAAGAGAGGTGCAATTCATGGGTTTGTATTATCAGTGAGAGAAAGGTTCTTTGTTGGAGAGATATGCAATTCATGGGTTGGGGAGAGAGATTGAGAGATGAGAAAGAAGTAAGGTGAAGATGGGCAGAGAGCGGCATTGTGGGTTTCTTTTTCTATTAGAGAGAGAGACCTGGATTTAGAGGCTCTGGGTTGGAAAGTTCTGACCAGTCACCAGTTTCTACAGCGAGTTTTTCAAAGTTGAAGAGTTGGCCTCAGCCTCAGGAAAATCCCAGGGGGAGATTTCTTTCAGCTTTGGGGTTGGAATTGGTCTCGCTTTCATAATGTATATATCTAACTTGCAAAGGCGAATGGAGAACGTTCTTGACGATATCAAAGAGAGGGGGAGGGATGTGTTATCTGAGCATCACAGAAAAGTAATATTGTATATTTTACTCCACCTTACCAAGGAATCAATGGTCACAAGTTTTTCCCTAAATATCATAGGTTAATGGGACAACTAGCTAATGCTAGTTGTACTACACAGCCTGCTAAATTCCCTAACTATGTCAGAGTAAATGAGATGGCTCAACAGATGCAGAGGGATCAACTTGAAGCAGAGGTTGAAGTCGATATGGAAGTTTTGCAACTTAACTTGGACACTGAATATTTTTCTCAGAAGAAAAACCACCAAAGAGAGGAGAGCTACAAATGGTTGTGGATGACTATTCTTGCGTGGGTGAAAGTAACCATTTGAGTCTAGAAGAGGAGAATCGTCGTGAAAAGGTTATTAACAAGTTGTGTGAGCTTGAGCGCAGGCTTCATGAACTTCTCCATACAAGGCAACAAGAAAGGATAACTGAACTTGAGAACGCTTTGGAATGCTCGGAGAGAAGGCTTTTGGAGAAAGAAATAGAAGTAATTACAGAAATGATTATCGTTGGGTGATTGGTAAAGCTTTGACACTGTATCCGAGCTGATAAATTCTCTTCTTGCAGCGCTTCAATATTATTGTCTTTATTTTTCCTCCTTTGTGGAACTTCACTTGTGTAAATCTAGTGGTTTAAAAAACCGATCGGTGTCTCAAATCGAGCATCTTAAAAATCAATTCGGATCGGCAAATCGGCAATCCGGATCAGAAATCAGGCCGAATCGTTCGGATTAAGCCTTAAAAAAATTCAAAAAAATTATTAAAATTCATTATAAATGTTGTTTTTTAAGAATCCAATAAGAAATAGGGGTACTACATTATTAACTTTCATTATTTTCATCAATTTATGAATATTGAGATGTTCTTTCCCTGTATAAACTTATGTTGACCATTAAATTTACATCATACAAAAGAAATCATAGAATTATTATGGATTAATTATATTATCATATATAGACTACAATAAATAGTTGACTAACTCAATGAAAATTTGGCCACTAAAATCTCGAACTGGCTAAAAACCTAATCCGCTAAAAAAAAAACCCAATATTACAACCTAACTAACTATAATATTATATACCAACAATATTTTATAATTATTTTATTATAT